AGTAATGAAGCTTCTTTATTTAATTTTTGATGACTAGGAACTGGGTATAACAAACACACACCCACACAACTTAATAGAAAGAATAAAATAAAATTTTGGCTTTCTGTCATGAGATTTGAGAAGAGTACAGGTAGTATAAGTGGAGATTCCCCCCCCTTCCTTTTTTAAAGATTTTATTTATTTATTCGACAGAGAGAGACACAGCGAGAGAGGGAACACAAGCAGGGGAAGTGGGAGAGGGAGAAGCAGGCTTCCCGCAGAGCAAGGAGCCTGATGCGGGGCTCCATCCCAGGACCCTGAGATCATGACCTGAGCCCAAGGCAGATGCTTAATGACTGAGCCACCCAGGTGCCCTTCCCCTTTTCTGTTTTAAACAATTTTCTGAGAAAAAGGGAGTATTCTTTTTTTTTTAATGATTTTTTTTAGTTTTAAGTAATCTCTACACCCAACATGGGGCTCAGACTCAAAACCCTGAGATCAAGAGTTGCTTGCTCCACTGATGGAGCCAGCTCAGTGCTCCCCAAAAAGGAGTATTCTTAAGATTTGTAGTAGAAATCAAACTAAAGTACTTAATTTATTTGAATATTTGAAATAAGATTGCCACACATTAAATTTGCTAATGATTTTAACTGTACACATTTTTTAGAGTGTATTTGTAAATATATTTACTATGTTATGCAATAATATATGTTATGTAAATTAGAAATGTGTAAGAGAATTTATTTCTTTGGCGTTTAAATCAATTTCAAATAGACAAAGCTTTTTGTATGTAATGGAAAAATTGGTTTGATATGAAGAAGTTAATCAATGACAGTTTGTATATTAGTTTAGAGATTCAGTGAAATAAGACTTAGAACTGAGAATGATGTGTAGTAAACCAGTGATTCATCCATAGGTATCAGTACTTGATCTGGCTTGAGTTCATGTGAGATGTTGGAATGTATTTCTTAGCATTAAAATATCCTATTTTAGTATCTTTGATTTATAGTCATACAGGACTTTGAAGCTCATTTCCTAGCAACATCACAGAATCAGGGGTCTAAATAGTCTATTTTATCTATAAGAAGAACATAATACAGTGTTTATTGATTTATAACTTTTAAAAGTGAAAAACAAAATGCAAGCAGACTTGGAATTTTGACTCTTAAATTGGTTGAGCCTTCAAAAAGTACTTACTCATTTGTGAAAGTTCTCTTTTTACACGAGTCTTTTTTACAGTCAAACAAATGTTTAATAATGCAACACCATATTACAGTATAGTGGCACTAAATGGAGAGAATATTTTACAGCTGTGAAGTTTTTCTTTTTTCTTTTCCAAGGCACAATGCTTGAAGGGAGAGTTGTCTGAAGGCAGGATGTTCAGAAGCAGGGACTGACCAGCTGTTCACTCATTTTAGTCTTGTTAAATCATCTGATAAGCCCGTAAGAGAGAAATGTCAATTGATTAATGAGCCAGAGTATTGATTTTATGTTTTCAGACTGCTAGAGGAGATTAAGCTTCTAGATGCAAGCGTTTCCATAAGCCTTCCTTTTGACCAAGTGCATAGTGAAAGTAAGCAGAGTTCACTGAGGTTAGAGTTCCATGCTGGGATCCAGGACTTCGATTTGGTATTAAAAACAGTGTGGTGCTGTTGTGTACTGGGGTTGTGTGTGTTGGGCCTAGAGTCAACTAACCTGAGTTCTGGCTGTGGCATTTCTCCCCTCTAACAGTGGATCAACTGATGAGGCTTATTTTAGAGAATTTTGAAAACTATAATAATTTCAGCAAGAGGAGATTAAATATAGAACATCAAAATAATTGAAATACTATGCTGCCATTCTCATTGCATGTCAAAGATGATCATAACACATTGCATGCAAAAATCAGTTTACAAAACAGTAATTACAGTCTAATTTTTTTTCTTGTAAAATATACCCCCCCACCAAAAAAACAAGCACCACAGGTGTGTGTGTGTGTAGTCTGAAAAATCATAATTTTTTTGTCTAGGAAATATAGAATAACTTAAATATTATATATTCAGATAGCTGAAGATAGTTTGCTGAACTGTAAAGCTGAAACTCTTGTGTTTGGTGATTCTGTGGGTTTCATTTATTTTTATTCTCTATCCTTTGTGTTTATTGGTAGTATTGAATATTTATTTTCAGAACTATAGTATCTTTTTCCATGGAAGAAATAGATGGCCACAGGTGGTTTTCATTTTTTTTTTTGCATGAGGCATGTGCATTGACAGCCTTTGAAACTTAAATGCTTTGTAATATGCAGGTGCTTTTATTGTTTATAGAAATTCCTAATCCTTGTTTGAAATTTATTAAATGGTGTTCCATCTGTAAGCCTCCCTAAATTCCATAGATTAATTAGCCTTTAAAGTAAGGTTGCCTTTTATCTAACTTTAGTATAAACTCTTCCATCTGGGAACCTTCTCTTTCCTGTGCTTGTTCAGTGTTCTGTGTACTTCAGCACTCTGGTATTAAGTATTAATTATGGACATTGACGTTCTCAGGAACCACGAAGAACACTAAGAATAACAGTAGATTGAACAAAGTGGCATTGTCCAGGAATAGTTTGACGTGGTAAATGATCCATCCATCATGGCTTTGCCACTACTGTGTGCGTGCCATTATTGAAAAGTGGGATAGTTACTCCATAGGGAAATTTTACAGATAATGGTTCTATAAGTTAGCATTCTTAAGACGTTTCAGTTAAAGGAAAAAAAGAGAAAAACACCCTATATTGACATCTCATGTGGCTTTTTTTCCTGGTAGGTTCTGATTGAAAATTTGTTGACAGTATTTACTGCAGAGAGATTGGCTTTGGCTCTTTTGAGGAAATGTAGTATGGGGTTAGAATTGTGTTGTTATTTTTAAAGAAATCAATATATTTTTTTTAAAGATTTTACTTATTTGAGAGAGAGAATGAGATAGAGCATGAGACGGGGAGGGTCAGAGGGAGAAGCAGACTCCCTGCTGAGCAGGGAGCCCGATGCGGTACTTGATCCCAGGACTCCGGGATCATGACCTGAGCTGAAGGCAGTTGCTTAACCAACTGAGCCACCCAGGCGCCCCTAAAGAAATCAATATTAAATGATTTAATTCTATTTACTAGTCTCAGAATTATTGAATACCACAGAGTGGAATGTTTATTTTTTAAAAACATAAAAGGTCAGTAATTCAGTCATCTGTGTGCTTAATCAACTTAATATTATTTGGTGCTTTTTATGGACTTAATTTTGCTACCTCACCCTCTGCCTCAAATAAATTAGACCAATGCTATAACAAATAGGTTCCATGACTTGTTTAGGAAACATGACAAAAATAATTTTACTCAGTTAAGTTTTGATTATGGTAGATAATTGAGGGTAGGAAACTGAAATGTAGTTATTACATGGTTTTGGCTTCCAAGGTATAACATCTAGGTTGAGAGAGAGAGTTAATAGTCATGAAACAGTTGAGACCATTAAGTGTTCAGGTGTATTTTCCAAATTATAAGAGAGTAAGACATTCAGGCAAGATGGTTTAGCATAATCAGAATGTAGAAGGTCCTTAGAATTAAGTTAGTGGAGGAGACAGCATTCTAAATTGGAGTAAATACTGTGACTAAAGGAATGACTTTAGGCACATGTGGAGATCTTGGAGTAGCCTTAAATGATAGGAATCTGGCTGTGGATTGAATAGTTGTTGGGTTAGGGCAGAAGGTATGGTTGTTTAGAGGGGAAGGCTTTGAAAGCAAAGGTGGCCAGCGAGGATGCATGAATAGCTTGTTTTTGCAATAGAGTAGCAAGATAAACAATTTCTCCCAGGTGCGTTATCTTACAAATGGTAGGTAGGAAGAGATTGGAGACCAGTGAAAATAGGAGATTATTGTAGTAGTCTGGGGATGAGTTAATGAGTGCCTACTTTGGGAGGGTGACGGCAGGAATAGATGGGAATAACTGAGGCACACTGTCACTGGAAGAAACTTGGTCATTAGTATATCTTCAGTGCATATTGAGTGAGTGAACCAGAGGTTGAGAGAGGGGAATAAATATGGAGAGTGAAGGAAAAAATAAGTTACTAGTGACTTCTTCCTAGATATCTTTTTTTTTTTAAGGATTTTTATTTATTTATTGAGAGAGAGAATGGTAGAGAGAGAGCAAGAGAGGCAAGGAGGTCAGAGGGAGAGGCAGACTCCCTGCTGAGCAGGGAGCCCGATGCGGGACTCGATCCTGGGACTCCAGGATCATGACCTGAGCCGAAGGCAGTCGCTTAACCAACTGAGCCACCCAGGCACCCCTTCCTAGATATCTTGAGAGTGAGTTACCACTGATAGAAGACGGGTAGGATAAACAAATCTAGTAGAGGGACATGATGAGTTCAGTTTGTACATATGGAATTTGAAGTGGTGGTAACTTCGCAAGTGGAAGTGGCTTTATAAGTAGCTGGATACGTGGCTCTGGAAAATGGTCAATTCAGGGCCTGAGACCTAGAGTGAGGTGTATGGATATGTACATATATGGATATGTAAGGGCACTTTCTGAGAGAGTTTTTTTTTTCCCTGAGGGAGTTTCTAAAGGGAAAATTGGAAGATCAATAAAGAAGCCTTAGAAAACACCAGAAAAAATCATTCAAGGGGCGCCTATGTGGCTCAGTCGTTAAGCGTCTGCCTTCAGCTCAGGTCATGATCTCAGGGTCCTGGGATCGAGCCCCACGCCGGGCTCCTTGCTCGGCGGGAAGCCTGCTTCTCCCTCTCCCACTCTCCCTGCTTGTGTTCCTTCTCTCGCTGTGTCTTTCTCTGTCAAATAAATAAATAAAATCTTTAAAAAAAAAAAAGAAATTCAACATTTAGGCTTTAGAGGGCCATTTTTAATAATTTGATTTCAGTTTGCTTAATTTGAGTAATATTTTTTAAAACAACCAGTAATCTGTGTTTTGAACAGTTTAGTTTAAAAATGATGGTAAAAATCAGTATATTCTGATCTGATTCTAAAATCAGAATATTTCTGATTTGTTATAACTTTTCCTAGATTGCCGTGCTAAGGAGACAGCAACGTATGATAAAAAATCGAGAGTCTGCTTGTCAGTCCCGCAAGAAGAAGAAAGAATATATGCTTGGCTTAGAGGCCAGGTTAAAGGCTGCGCTTTCAGAGAATGAGAAGCTGAAGAAAGAGAATGGATCACTGAAGCGACAGCTGGATGAAGTCGTGTCAGAAGTGAGTGCTAGTGATGCACTGCAAGGGAGTGGCCCTTATGTTTCTCTTCTCCTGCACCTTTCCTTTTCTCTCTTTGCTACAACAGGGAACCTAGAAGGCTCTGCTCTAGTCTTGTGAAAAGTACTGTTTCCTCATCTTTGAGGTTTTTTTTTTTTTTAACTATTAAATTGGTGAAGAGGAGTGTGCTTATCTTAGATGCTGCTTTTTGTGAGATTGATATGTAGTTTAACCGTATTTAACATGGTTATTTCTTTTAGAACCAGAGGCTTAAAGTTCCCAATCCGAAGCGAAGAGCTATCTGTGTGATGGTAGTGTTGGCATTTATAGTACTCAACTATGGACCCATGAGGTAAGCAGATAGCCATCTGTTTAGGTACTAATGCTAAAGATTTCAATTCCCATTCTTTTCAGCTCTAGTTGTAAGCTAGAGAAAAACAGATTTGTTTTGTTCTCTTCAGAGACAATAATTAGGTAAGAAGAGGGGAAAAAGAAAGATTGGTTCCTCTTTCTTGTTCTTCATCTAGGTCTGGCAGAAAATTCATGATGTTTAATGAAGAAAGCCTTCAGTTACCAAACAGATCTGTGGTGGGCCTTGAAATCAGACTGCCCGAGTTCAAATGCTAGCTCCTCCACTTGGTAACTTTGTTGTCTTAGGCAAGTTACTTAACCTCTGTGCTTCAGTTCCTTACCTTTAAAATGGTTAAGCCTTGGGGCGCCTGGGTGGCTCAGTTGGTTGAGCGACTGCCTTCGGCTCAGGTCATGATCCTGGAGTCCCGGGATCGAGTCCCACATTGGGCTCCCTGCTGAGCGGGGAGTCTGCTTCTCCCTCTGCACCTCTTCCCTCTCATGCTCTCTGTCTCTCAAATAAATAAATAAATAAAATCTTTAAAAAAAAAAATGGTTAAGCCTTTATAATAATACTGTTACCTACCTGCCTCAGTACTGTGATTCTTGAGCAGCTTCAGTGATTATAAGACACTAGGGTGGCTTCCTCCCTAGCTGGAAAGGAAGCAGCTAGAGCGGTAATTAGCAGTTTCTGACTTAGTAGGTTTGGAATGGGAATCAAGAATCTAAATATTTTATAGCGTTCTAGTTGATTTTGGTACAGGTTTCCAGCTAATCATGACTTGAGAAACACTCCTTTTAGGTTAGAGTCGTAGAATACTAGAGTCATAGGTTAGAGTCATAGAATACTAGAATTCAGAGGGACCCTAGAGGCCGAGACCCTCTTTTTCAGACTCGCACTCACTGTGGCACATTTGATAAATGAATGAAATCAGCATCCTAGGTGCCGGGGAGTCAAAGAGAAATTAGACTGGGGCCATACCTTCAAAGATCTCCTGGTCTAGCTGAGAAGACAGACAAGTCAAAGGATGACTCGAGTATAATGTGATGAATATAATAATAGCAATATGAACAAATTACTAAAAAAATATAAATGAGAGTAAGAATTCCTTGAGAAGGTTCATGTCATATTGATAGATGCTCAGAACATGTTTTGATGAATGGGAGTGGTAAGGGAAATCCCCACAGAGGAAGCTGAATCTTGAAGTGTGATAGCAGTTTGTCAGTTGGAGAGTATGGAAAGAGATGCCAAGTAGAGGGACCACAGTAGTTAAAAGGCACAATTAGGAAATGGCTTGATGTTTTCAGGAAAAAGTGAAAAATTCATGTATATCTTATACATGTGGGAATGTGTATGAGGGAAATGGGGCTACAGGTATACAGTGGGGGCCAGATACTGAAGAGCCTAGTATGCTACTGTACACAATGAGGCACCCCTGGGTTTTTTAGGCAGAGGGTAGCATAATCAGTTTTGATGTTAGGAAGGTGATTGAGGGTGGTAGTGAGAATGGACCGGACTGAGCAGATGCTATTGGCAGAGACAGCACTGGGAGGTTGTTGGTGTATTTAAGGTGATATATGTGAGTCTGGACTTGGACTGTGGTGATGGAAAGGACAGGCTATCTCAGGGTGTACCTCTGACGTGGACTCTGGGGTTTGATGACTGATACAGAGTGGGACATGAAGAAGAAAAGAGAGAAGCTAAAGATAATTCAAATTTCTATCTTGAGGGACAGAACAGCGATGCTCTTATTTAAGGCAGGAGTTAGGAAGATGAATCATTTTATGATGGCAGATAATGGTTTTTATTAGTGTGGAAAGTTTGTGATACTGACTAGATATTGGGAATTACCATGATGGATAGACAGACAGACAGATGGTAGTGGAGTAGGTGAGATTATCCAAGGAGAACAAGTAGGGGAAGAAGAGTAATGAGAATCTGGGGAAACCAGCATGACAGACTCAGGAAAAGAAACTCAAGAGTGAGTAGTGTTAGGGACAGAACCAGAAGAATGTGATTTTCTGAAGCCCAGAGTGAAAGAGTTTCAAAAAGAGGCTTGTGGGGGCAGAAACCTGAGGTGAGAACATTGAATTTGGCAACTAGCAGCTTGATGGTAATCTTGGAGCTGCTCTGTGTTCCACGCTTTGTGGTTGACACTCTTATCAGTGTTCATTTTGGAAGGTGATGTCCAGAGCCAACACCCTTAGATATTATCTTCTGACCTGTGTAGACTGTAGTGAAATCCTCACTTCGTAAGAGCTCATTTTTTCATGCAGCCTAAGATTGTGGTAGCTATTTCGAAGAGATGTATTATTAACTAAAATCCCCATATCTTTTTCACATGTTTGATGGTCAAGCTAGGTCATTCCCATTTTATTTCTACACAGTTTCTAAAAAGTAAAATGTAGATCTTGTATTCAACTTTCATTATCATTTGGTATTAGCACAACTCTCTAGAGCATTTGATATCCCATCGTGGAACCTCAGACACCCATGTACTTTTTACTAAAATGATTCAGTGGAAAGAGGTCATATTTCTGAGTTGACCTGTTTTTGAAAGTTTATATTGTATTAGACATGTTACACAGAATATGTAGAAGAGATACCTGGAGCAAGCATTTAAATTATTAAAAAGAATTTTTTTACTACCTGTTGGTATTTTACCCATATTCTTCATATTAAAATTATTTTTTCTTTTAACTCTGATAATGGCAGTCTCAGAGGCTTTATGCAGTAGCGTTCGGTGGACAGTAAAGAAGATGGGGTTGTGCTGTAGGAAGTGAGGATGTGGTTAGGGATACACCTTGTTGTGGAAGCCCTCATAAGTAAATAGAGATTTGGGGGAAAAAAAGACAATTTTTAAATGGATTAATGATGTTTACAGCTACTGAGGGTAGAGGGGGTGTGTGGGGATGGATCTCATTTCTATGAGCTGATGTGTTGATTCATTTTGGAAGGAGGAGACTCTGGTCCTATTTTATCACAAAAGTTTTGTGTCCAAAAAATTAGATGGATAGTACAAACAGCAGAATATAGAATGGGAGAAAGCTTAAATATTTGAAAGTCCAGAGGAACAGCCAGAGGAGATCTGTGTCTGTCTCTTTGTGAAGGCTTGAGGAACAGAAAGCGAAGAAGTAGTGGGAAGATTTCGGAAGTGTGCAGATTTTTAAAAACATGTTAAAAGGCTTAGATTGAAGAAAAGCAACAAAGAGCTGGAAGGAGTGAAGAAATATTGAAGTGTCTTAACAGGTTGGAATATCTCCAGACACCAAGAAGGAAATAGAACAGAAACTGGCTATGGAGCCCATAAAAACCAGTAACTATTTCTTCTCGACAAAATTTGGCACGAATGGTGGAATACCAAAGCTAAGAGAGCAACAGTGGTCTGAAAGACTGACACCTGCCCCCGAACCAAATGTTGGCAGTGGAGATGTGCCATCACGCATGTTCTTCAGAAACATTCTTGATTGACCCCATCCTTTGCAGCCTCTTCACTGCAAGACTGAAGATCTTCTCAGGGCTGGGAATCTGCCAGAGGAGCAGAAACTCCCCACTTGAACCTTATTAATACCACCTGGAATGTATTTATTGAATAACTTCCACACCCATGGCCGTGTATATCTCTAAACCTTAAGCAAGCATTATTGTGTTTTAATTGGTATAGAAAAAAAACCAGATTGTGAGTTCTAACTGAACTTTTCTCAAGTACCACAAAACTAAGTCTGGCCAGACAAGCAGACGTTTTAATGAGAGATTTCCAAAGCATTTTAAATTTAGGAAACTAAACTCTTTCAGAACAGATCACATTACCATAATAAAGTTGTCAGTGTTGTTTCAGATATTCAGTGTAGAATTGAACTTCTGTGCCATATTGGTATGGGTCCAAGTGAAAAACTAACACACAAGTTTGCTGCCTATAGGTATGCCTTAAGAAACATTTCCTGAAGGCACTTGTGGTGATGAAATATAAATACATCTTACATCTAAGGTAAGAGAGTTTTGTGCAGCAACACTGACTAGTTTGAAGAGTTTTAGGTTACTGAATAGTCATCACACAGAAAAAGAAAATAAACCGAATAGACTTAAAAGGGTTAATTTTTCTGACCTTATTGATGTTACATGGATGGTAAAGACAGCATCTAGCTTTTCTTTTTCTGGCACAAGATTCAAAGAGCTGGCCCACTCTGGGTGGTCTATAAAAATAGTAACTCTGGGCAGCAGGGAATGGCTAAACTGGACAAATGTGAATTGGTAGGAAACCCTCTTCTTACTGTTCATTAGGGTTGATTCTATGATTATTAGTCCTATTTCATAAAGAACTGGAAATTTAACCAAGGTCTCTTTTCAAAATTATTGAAAACTCTGCCCTCTCTACTATACCATAAAGTAGTTTTTTTCTACCATTGTCCAAGAAACCTTAAGGACTTCTGTTTTTGGCAATATGGTGGGCTAGAGGTATGGAGAACCTCTTTGCAGTTCTATACACCAAAAAATGCTGGATTAAAGAACACATCAAAACTCTTTTATGTAATGGCTGAACTGAAGACAGAGTAAGGACTTCTTAGAAGCCAGAAATATAAAGATAACATGAATCCATTATAAGCTAGCATTGGAAGTGATGCTATTTCCTGATCCGTTAGCCTAGAGTCTGGTGACAAGAAAGCTCTGGGGTTCTGAACAAGGTAGGAAGTCACAACTGAGCCCCATCCCCCCTTCCCAAACCCAAATAAAGCTGGAACTTCCAAAGAATGACATTTTTTAGTTGCTAAAAAGAGTGGAAAAAAGTAGGTTGTCAAACTACATAGGGAGAGTATTGATAAGTACCTGTCTTGGTATTGGCTTTGAGTAGGATGGAAATAAAGAAAAAGTCTCCCTGAGAACTCATCATCACAAGCCTTAACTCATGTAGGTTTGAGCCTGAATTTATACTACTGTTGTGACTCCTCAAAAAACCAAACCAAAAATTTAGTTTAAGTGGCCCTCTGTTGGTACTGCTAGGCTCC